TGTTTTTATTCGGTTTCGTTTTCTCTAAAGATCAAGTCATGTGCCAAGTTCAAGAACAAATTAAAGCCATGGGCTTTAAGGGCTCCTCTTGTCAAAAGACTAGCTTAGCTAGGAAGCCATAGAATGGCACAAGGTTTAGCTAGGAGCTAGGAGGAGCCATGAGAATGGCGAGAGGTTTTAGGTGCTAGGAAAGTTGAGGAGAGAAAAGAGTGTTGGATTAGAAGAGAGGGGAGTACAAGGAGGGGTTTGTACCCCCTACAGAAAGGTTCAGTAACAACCTACCAAGCCTATATTAAATTATAACTTATATAATTTGAACACCCAGGTCTGCTATTTTAGCTGCGGGTTTTAAGATATCGAGTGATGTTTCTTGACCTTGAATGCTCTAATTGTGAAGGGTGTGGAATTTATCTTCCACCTACCTATCCCATTTTGTATAAAGCGAAATGGTTTACTCCTCAAGCGAGCCTAGTACGAGAGAATTCAGCTGCCTCCGACATGCCTAAGGCTAGGTATCATCCGAACCCTGGGAAGTTAGGTTTGGCTTCGACAAGCCCGAATTCGTAAGGTTGGGCTAAAACCAGAAGCAAGCCCTACCTGCTGTGGTCAGGGCTCTCTGTTCAAGGGTAAACATCCGGAATGTCAGGTACATTCCGGGTCTTTCCCGCTGAAAACCTGTTTTTGAGGGTTTCGGACTCACAAACCTACTGACTGATTCCAAGCGTTTTCAAGGAACTCCCTGACCAATCCTGATTGCGCGAAAATTTATCATGGCCATCCGACTGGCATGGAAACTTACCCGTGCTGGAATTGCAACCAGCCCCTCCCCCCCCCCCCCCCCCCAACCTTTCCTTCGCAACCATGACCAATTTCCACGCAATCTGAAGGTGCGACCAGTCGAACTTCCACAACTACAGAAGTGCATGGCTGTCAGACCTATCACAACACCTAAATACTACCTTAGCCAGGTTGCGCTCAGTCCCTCTAAGTTGTACGCATTTCTGTCGCGATTGACAACTTGGTGTGGTGGTGAGGGACAGCAGCAGCAGCAAGTGTGTGTTCTGTATTTTTCATCGTTTCTTCCATCGATGTCCTTCCTGCTTGCACCCGAATTGCCCACAGGTTCCGCTTATATGTAGGGAGTCCCGAAAAACACTCTGAATTTCAGATTGAGAGGTCAAAGTATTCCTGAAATAAAGAGAGATTCTCCAGGGAATGCTGAATTTTCAGGGTCTTTAGTGACGCGAATCCTGGGACCGCTGGGTCTTGAAAAACGAAAAAAAAAAAAAAAAAAAAAAAAAAAATAGCCCTGGCTGTGGTTACGAACGACTTGTTCCGCATTTGCTGTTACAGTAGTTTCGCGCCCGAATTGTCCTTGGTTGAAATCTTTCTTCGCGCGTACAGCGTCCGGTGCATCATTCCCACAATTTTGACTCGTTGACAATGGATTGCCTACAGGCCTACTGCCTATTCGGGAATCAGGTGTTTCTCCTACGTGGCAGGAGGGCTGCTGTTCCGCGCAGGAAAAGATTTTGATGCACCCGTTCGTGGTCCCGAGTTTGATCCAGCTAGCGCAAGGTGTCGTAAATAGCTCCGTGATCCCGTGAATCTTTCTACTGGGCTCGGAGGCCACGCGGAGGCTAGGATATTCTCCGCCGAATCCTACGACGCAGGTGGGTTCACACTGTCCACTCACTTTGCTGGCTCACGCATTTCCTCCAGGGTTTGCTTTTGGTTTTTAGTAGCCCTTCAAAACTTGGGCTCTTGGAAACATACTTTTAATTATCAGGGTCTAGCAGAAAGCAATCCTTAATCATTAGGGCTCGTTTTCGCAGTACCCCTTCCCCTGCTACGGTTAGAATTTTTCAGGAGATGTATGGGCAAGACGAAAAGGGCGTGGGTAATGTGCACGGGACTTAGAGGAAAAAATGACGAGAATCCACTTAGTAAGTTGTCGCCCCTCTGCTTGTGACTACGAGGTGTGAGTAACGTGCTCTGGGGGGAGAACGAAAATCTAAGGGAATTGTCTCCCCTCTGTGACTGCGAGGTGTCTGAGTACGGGCTGTGAGGGGAGATGGACGAAAATATTCGAAGGGAGTTGTCTCCCCTCTGTCTGTCACTTGGTGTGAGTACGTGCTGTGAGGGGGGAACAAGAAAAAACTCTGAAGGGAGTTGATCCTCCTTGGGAGATCCCCCTTGTAGCCCTACCAGCACTAGGAGTACACCCAGGGTAGAAACATAATATACCTTTAATCTCTAGGAATTCTTTCTAAAACAACCCTCAATCCACCGGGTTCATCAAAAGCCAACCCTTAATTTGGGGCGTTAGCTAAAAAAAGCTATTTATTTGACTCAAATTCAGGGCAACATTTCTTGAAAAATAGGCCCTGATTCCCTCTCCCGCGGAAATAAATACACCATGGGTGCAGCACCGCATTAGGCCATAAGTAATGATAGCAGGAGCACGCCTGGACGATAATGTATGTTTCATTTCCAAGGACGATATGTTTCCCGATGCCCGACGATTGCAACTACATCACGTTTGCACAAAATGCAAAATGAACATGTATATGAATTTCCAGGCTCATTTTGCATCAGATGAACACTTTTTAATTCTGTTTATAAAATCATTTCGCACCAAAATAGGAATCGGTTCGAGAAGCTGTGCTGGAGCCTGGAACACCGCATCTGTCGGTGGTTGACGAGGTGAAAAACTCGGTGGAGAGGCAAAGCAGCGAGTGCGAACATTCTTTTAGCAAGAAGAGTGAAGGAGCCAATTGACACCCGCCGGGGCAAATGACACCAAGTGAAGCTAGTTCGCGAAGTTTAACCCTTTCCCCCATTTTTCAGGGCTGACTTTCTACTGTAATGTGAACCCCTGGTTTGTAGGCACCAGGGCTATTTTTTCGTTTTCCAGGACCCAGCGGTCTCAGGATTCGCGTCACTAAATACCCTGAAAATTCAGCATTCCCAGGAAATCTCTCTTTATTTCAGGATTACTTCGACCTTTCAATCTGAATTTCAGAGTGTTTTTGGGAACTCCCTACATATAGGCGGAACCTGCGGGCACTTCGAGTACAAGCAGGACGGATATCCATGGAAGAAACGATGGAGAAGAATACAGAGTACACACTTGCTGCTGTTGCTGTCTCTCAGCACCACACCAAGTTCGGCACTTTCCTTGTCAATCGCGACAGAAATACGTACAACTTAGAGGGACAGTGCGAAGCCTGGCTAAGGTGATATTAAGGGGTTGTGATAGTCTGAAAGCCCTGTACTTCTGTAGTTGTGGAAGCTCCACGGTCACACCTTCAGATTGTGGGGAAAATTGGTCAGGGCTGCAATTGGGGGGAGGGTGGGGTTACAATTCCGGCACGGGTAGGTTTCCATTCCAGTCGGATTGTCAGGATAATTCTTCGCGCAGTCCGTATTTCTCAGAGAGTTCCTGGGAAATGCCCGGAATCAGTCAGGAGGTTTGTGATTCCGAAACCCTCGAAATCAGGATTTAAGCGGGAAAGACCCGGAATGTACCTGACATTCCGGATGTTTACCCTTGAAACGAGAGCCCTGGTAGGCACCTGTTCACCACAGGACATCACCTCCCTCCCAAGCACCTCCCTCCTAAATTCCAGAGCAAAACCATCCCCCTAGTGTTGTTCCAATCATAACTGGGCCTTGGGCATTGCGTAGGAATAAATATGTGGTTCATTAGATCCGTGTTGGCAACTATCTCTCCACGGTTTGTCCTAGCTTCTTCTTTCAACCGAAGTCCCCACCGTTGTGCTGTGGCCGTTTCCTACTTTCAGACTAGCAGCGTAGAAAGGGGTGATTCCGCGTCACAGAGTGACTGCCGTCGTCACTTTACCCAAGTTCTGTCCGTTCTCCTTACAACTCAGGATGGAGTCTGCGATACCGTCGACCACTGTCCACCGTGCGCACAGCTACCGCGACGTGCGGGCGGCGGCGCAAGCGGATTTTCCGCCAGCCTGGAGCGACTTCCTCGACTCTGAGTCGGATCCTGCCGATATGCACGTCGGGGCGCCGTGCCGACGAAGCGCTTCCGAGTCGAGAAAGTCCGCGGCAGCGGCGGCGGCGGCGGTTTCGGCGAGTGGAGCGGCGCTCGCTGTCGTTGACCCTTACGCTCGCGCGTCACGCGGGCATGCGTCCCAGGCTCCAGGGACTGTAGGGTCCTTCGGGAGAGGGTTCGACGGTTCAAGTTCGCGAAGCTCGTCGCACAGCTCGTTCAACGACAAGTTCGCACGGTGCGACAGCAGCCTGACGAAACACACGTCCTGGTCGAGCGACGCACCTGCGATAGACCTGGTTGCGCGATCCGTTTCAAGCCCATCGGCGTCCGATGATTGCGGGGATTGCGGCGCATGCGACGCGTGTGTTTCAGCCGGCGTCGTAGGGCTAGGAGATGGACAGTCGTTCTCGAGTCGACGCAAGAGCTTTGCCGCCCCCTCCTCGATTTGCCCCAACTGCCGAAGCAGCAGCGGCTGGCGCTGCGGCTGCGCCGATGCGGCTCTGGCGTGCGATCCGGGATGGGTGGATAACGCGCGGTGCCGAATCCGAGAAGCGGCGCTGGAGCTGGTCGAAGCGCAGCAGCGGTCCGCGGCGCACGACGAGGAACTGACGTGGCTGGAAAAGACGCGCGCCGCGCCGGCTCCCCCATCGCGGCGCGCTTCGTTCGACGTGTCTCAGTATCGCTGGCCGGGAGGCTCGGCGAGGTTATCGGGGAATCCATGCCATGTGGAAGCTGAGGAGAAGGTTGAGGAAGTGAGTAGCAGGAGCTTTAGCTCCGTTACAAGCAAAACCACTGCGCGCAATAGCAGGTCCATTCGCTTATTCTCTTCGATGAAGGCGCCTATGGTGAAGAGCAGCAGGGTTTTTGCATGGCTGTACACTTCCTAAGCTCGTCCCGTTATAGAACGCAGGCCTAAATGTTGTATTCATTGTTTTAATTTCTAACCATGGCCATCAATGCCTTATGACCTGCTGCTCGGGCAACAGTTACCTTATGATCATGCTTCGAAAAGCAAGAATTTACATTTGAAAGAACCTTCGTCAACATCACATCAACCAGGCCTAGGGATTTTGGACAAGTCTGGTATCCAGAGAGCTAGCAGCACAGAGGCAGTGGCAAACATGAGGCGGCGTGGGGCCCACTTCACCACTGATGGCACCCCTGCATGGTTCCCCCAGCTTGCCACCTGCAGTGGAGAGGAGAGGGGGAAATATCAGTCAAAATCCGGGGGGAGAAGCTGTTTTTGCGGGGAGCGCAAGCGGGAAGCGTGCCATGGAAACACTTGAGAACACGAAAGAACACAGAAGAGCGCATGTGCGTGTGTATGCATGCTCGTTTTGGCGAGAGAGGGAGGGAAGGAGCGAACGAGAGATGGTGGGGAGGTCGGGGCTTACCTGTGCGCCAGTGGCAGCACTCCAGGCCTTCACAGTGCCGTCACCAGAGCCTGGACCCACATGAGAGGCCATGGGGTGGAAGAGAGCAAGCGTAGATTTAAATTTGCTTGGGCAGCAGACCGGAATACAAGGGCAGGAAACAAGAGGTGTCACGTTCAAGCCAGCCAGCACTCGATTGTACCAACTATAATGTATTTGGAAATCTACCAGCTGTAAGGAATTTAGCGCTTGACTGTAACTGATGTAACGTATTTGGAAATCTACCACTTGTAACAAGTTTACTGTACCTGAAATGACGTATTTGGCATCGGGGCTGAAAGACGCTTCCAATGGGGCACCATCAATATCAGGTACAACTGTGAGAGTGTGTAGCTGGTGGTGGTGGGAGGGAGGGAGGGAGGGAGGGAGGGAGGGAGGGAGGGAGGGAGGGAGAGAGGGAGGGAGGGAGGGAGAGAGGGGAAGGGAAGGAGGGAGGGAGGGAGGGAGAGAGGGGAAGGGAAGGAGGGAGGGAGAGCACCATCAGGAAGGGGAGATGGGCGCAAGGGGAAGGGGAGATGGGCGCAAGGGGAAGGGGAGATGGGCGCAAGGGGAAGGGGAGATGGGCGCAAGGGGAAGGGGAGATGGGCGCAAGGGGAAGGGGAGATGGGCGCAAGGGGAAGGGGAGATGGGCGCAAGGGGAAGGGGAGATGGGCGCAAGGGGAAGAGGAGATGGGCACAAGGGCGAAGGTGAGTGGATGGAAGAATGGATGGACGCCTACCTTCGGCCCGTCAAATGTATCCAGCTGGTAGATCCGCTCATTGAGAGTGCAGAAAACTCCAAATCCCCTGTGGTACACCCCGAGCACACCTTGTGCCCTTGTAGTGTCACAATGCGCCTTCTGCCCTTCGGATGGATCCAGCAGGTCGATGCGGCCGCTGAGAGTGCAGACGACTCCAAATCCCCTGTGGTACTCCTGTGGTACAGCCCGAGCACACCTTGTGCCCTTGTAGTGTCACAATGCGCCTTCTGCCCTTCGAATGCATCCAGCAGGTCGACGCGGCCACTGAGTGTGCAGACAGTTCATTAGATATCGTGTGCTACGGTCCAATCAAGCAGAATCACCTTGTGCAGCTAATGCCTACCTCTTGCCCATCGAATGCGTCCAGCAAGTAAATACAGCCGTTGAGCATGCAGACGACTGTTGAGACGACTCCAAGCGCCCCTCACTCCGTGCTACAACCCTTGGACGTACCTTCTGCCCTTCGACGGCGTCCAGCAGGCAGATGCGGCCGTTGAGGGTGCGAGTGTTGGGTCAGTCAAAGTGCCCTCACACGCTCACCCTGCGCTACGGCCCTGTGCTATAGCACTCTGCTACGGCCCTGCGCTACGGCCCTGTGCTACAGCCCTGTGCTACGGCACTGTACTTTAGCACTTGAACACACCTTCTGCCCGTCGAAGGCGTCCAGCAGGTAGATGTGGCTGTTGAGTGTGCAGACGAGTGTTGGGCCCAGTCAAAGTACCCTCACACACTCCCCCTGTGCTACAGCCCTGTGGTCAAGGTTCAAAAATACGGTTTTCGAAAAATACGGTCCGTTTTTTTCAGTCATTTGAGGAAAGAAACGACGTTTTCTTAATAGAACATTTCGTTTCTTTCTTCTTCTTTTTTAACAAGGCCGTAACGTTTGCCAGATCCGCGCATTTTGCACCCCGAAATGCGAGATCTCAGCATCTCGGTGGGCGAAATGCCAGATCTGCGGATTTCGGCGGGCGAAATGCCAAATATCTTAGCTAATTTTCCGCCCAAATGCGAGTTCCCGCACATTTTTGGGGGCCAAAATGCCAGATCCGCGCGTTTCGGCAGGCGAAATGGCAAATCCGGGCGTTTTGCAGGTTTTTTTTTTTTGGGGGGGGGGGGGGGAATACGGCCGTTTTTTTGCACCAGTAAAAAAAAGCAGCTCCGGACCGTTTTTAACCGTTTTATACGGCCGAAAAATACGATACCGTATTATACGGGGGAAAAAAAAAAAAGGTCGTTTTTTTGCACCTTACCTGTGGTACAGCCCTGTAATTAGCGCTTGAACGCACCTTCTGCCCTTCGAAGGCGTCCAGCAGGTAGATGCGGCCGTTGAGCGTGCAGACGAGGATCTGGTTGCCATCGTTGCTGAACTTGATGGATGTCACCTCGTCCTCGTCACCGCCCACCAGCATGGTGTCAAAGGGGCCCTGCAGGGGGAGAAAGCATGGTAGTGTGGGTAGGGGGGGAGGGGGGGGAGCAGGGGAGGTGGGGAGGGGAAAGAGGGGGAGCTGACGAGGATCTGGTTGCCGTCGTTGCTGAACTCGATGGGCGCCACCTCGCCCTCGTCGCCGCCCACCAGCATGGTGTCGAACGGACCCTGCGAGGAGGGGATAATTGTGGGGGGGGGGGTGAGGGAGGAGAGAAGGGGTGGGGTGGGGGGGGTGGGGGAGGGAGGAGAAAGAGAGTGTGCAGACGAGGATATGAAGGGTACCGCTGATACTGAACTTGATGGACGTCACCTCGTCCTCCTCGCCCCCCACAAGCATGGTGTCCCTCAGGGGAAAGAGCGGAACGGGGGGGGGGGAGGGGAGAGGAAAGGTGGATTTCGAGGGAGAGGTGGGGTGAGAGGCTATTGGCTGCCACAACTGTTGTCAGCTTAGACGAGGGGGCACAGAGCAGAGAGGTCAGCGCAGAGGAACAATGTCAAGAGGCCGCTCGACTATCTTATGAGTTAGAACACGCACCTTCTCATAGGAGCGAGCATCAAACAGCTTCACCGCCCCTCCGCCCATGGCCACTGCAAAGACCAGCCCCTGCTGGTCGAACGCCACTGCTGGGCGCCCCCGCACGCGCATTAAGCCCTGAGATGGGTGGGAAATTTTGGATTTGTGGGGCGGTAAGAAAAGAAACGGTGGGGATCATGAGCCTCTGCTGGTCGAGCGCCACTGAGAGAGTGTTGTCTGGACTTGAGTGAGCCTATGGGGCGTTCTCTCACGAGCTTGGAAATGCTTTTGAGTCGACTAAAAAAGAGAGCGCCACTGAGAGAATGGTGTCCTACGGGGCGTCCTCTCACGAGCCTGGCAAAGGATTGACTTGAATGCGCTTTCCCAAGAGCAGAATTCCCCCTGCGACACGAGCTTGCCAACGCACACCACAAACAGCAGCACCACAAACACCGCAACGCGGGCGGCGTTAGAAAGCTGATGCCCACACCACAATGCTGACCTGGCACTCGCACGATGCTGCTGACCTGGCACTCACACGATGCTGACCTGGCACTTGCACGATGCTGACCTGACACTCACACGATGCTGACCTGGCACTTGCACGATGCTGACCTGGCACTCGCACGTTGCAGACCTGGCACTCGCATGTTCTGAGGTCCCAGAGGCGAACGGTGTGGTCGAGAGCGCCTGAGAGGAAGGAGTCGTTCTTAGGCGACATGCAGAGAGAGACGACCCTGTGGGGGACGCGGAGGACAGGAGACAGAGAGACAGAGAGACAGAGAGGCTGGTATGCAATGAGAGGGATGGGGAGGTAAGGAGGGCGTGTCCTGTCCAGCTGGCAGAAGGAGTCATTCTTGGGGTACGGGCAGAGGGAGACGACCCAGTGGGAGGCATGCAGAGAGAGACGACCCTGTGGGAGGGGAGGAGGCAATGAGACGCACGGGACAGATGGCAGAGGAAGACGTCGTTCTTCTTGGGAGACATGCACAAGGAAACACGGCGATAAAACGTGAGATAATATGTGAGTGTTGGATGGAGGATGTGAGAGATGTGAGAGAGATTTGCGGAGCATCGACCAGCAGCAAGTAGACATGGGCAGCATGCCGAGCCTGGCTCGACTCGGCTCGACTCGACTCGCCTTTTTGGCGAGTCGAGCCGGGATTTTTTTTTGGTCGGCTCGACCCGAGTCGAGCCGGGTCGAGCCGGTCAAGCTGCGCGGCTCGGCTCGACTCGTCGCAAATTTCATGGCGAGCCAAAGTCGAGCCGGCTCGACTTTGGCTCGAATTTGGCTCGACTCCCGAAGCGCGCGGCTCGCCAACGGGGGGTCAAAATTCGACCCCCCTGGAAGACGAAAATCCATTTTAGGTTTCGATTTCCAGCGAGCCTAAGCGTGCTTCTAGGCTATTTTGACACCATAGCTTGCCCTCACTCTACCAACACCACTACTCTAGATTATTTTCGACTACCTTATACTGTTGTAGGACGGATCTAAGGGTTTCGGGACCATTTCCACATATGTGTGTTGCATGATGTCTCAACGTCCCTACACCCTAAACATGTCCCAAATTGCCACCACGCTGCCCTAAACACAAGCTGGCCTTCAGTGAACCCTTAGCTCTCCAAAACAGCGATGTAGCGAGTCTTTCCAAAATCTGCAGCCTAAACCCTTTTGGCGAGTCGAGCCGAGCCGAGCCAAGGTCGAGCCGACCCTTGACTCGACCCTGAACCCCCGAGTCGATCCAACCATTTTGGGGCAGCCGGCTCGGGTCGAGTCGAGTCGGCTCGGCTCGACTTTTACCTGGCTCGAGGTCGAGTCGAGCCGAGTCGAGCCAGACTCGGCATGCTGCCCATGTCTAGCAGCAAGGAAGGTGACCTTTCCTGTATTGACCAGAGTAAAGAGGGTTGCGGCCAGCGTTGGCGGTCAGACTCCACCAAAGCCCCGATTCTGGAGGTCCTAGTCCGTCAGAGCCCGTTCTGGCGGTCACAGGCTCATTGTGGCGGTCAAAGCCCCATTCTGGCGGCCAGAGTCCCATTCTGGCAGTCAGAGCCCCATTCTGGCGGTCAGAAGCCCATTCTGTCGGTCAGAGCCCCCATTCTGGCGGTCCGATCCCCATTCTGACGGTCAGAGCCCCCATTCTGACGGTCAGAGCCCCCATTCTGGCGGTCATAGGCCCATTCTGGCGGTCAGAGAAACATTCTGGCGGTCAAAAGCCCATTCTGGCGGTCAGAGCCCCCATTCTGACGGTCAGAGCCCCCATTCTGGCGGTCATAGTCTCATTCTGGCGGTCCGAGAAACATTCTGGCGGTCAAAAGCCCATTCTGGCGGTCAGAGCCCCATTCTGGCGGTCATAGCCCCATTCCAGCGGACAGAGCCCCCATTCTGGCGATCAGAGCTCCATTCTGGCAGTCAGAAGCCCATTCTGGTGGTCAGAGCCCCTATTCTGGCGGTCAAAGCCCCATTCTGGCGGTCAGAGCCCCCATGCTCACACCTCCCCATATGCTCTCCTATCTTGATTTGATACTCACCTCAACCCATACGCTCTCCTCTCCTTGTACTCACCTCTCTCTAGCAGCAGGTCGGCATCCCCATTGGGCAATGTTAATGGGTGAGCGGGTCAGAGCGGTTGAGCAGGTTAGCTGGTTAGAGGTTAGCCGGTGAATGGGTGAGCATGTCAGTGGGTCAGCGGGTCAGCGGGTCAGCGGGTCAGCGGGTCAGCGGGTCAGCGGGTCAGCGGGTCAGCGGGTCAGCGGGTCAGCGGGTCAGCGGGTCAGCGGGTGGTGTTAGCTGGCGGTACTTTTCTGATACATCCAGATCTGGTGACTGCGGCACTCACTTCTCTCGGTGGCCTTTGAGATAGGGCAGATAGCGTTACTGGTAGAGGGACTCAACGAAGGGTGGACCTGGTGGTATAGGCCGGCTGGCTATACCCGACGATGCCTTTCTGACACAGACTGCGGCACTCACTTGTCTCTGTGGCCTTTGAGATAGGGCAGATAGCGTTACTGGTAGAGGGACTCAACGAAGGGTGGACCTGGTGGTATAGGCCGGCTGGCTATACCCGACGATGCCTTTCTGACACAGACTGCGGCACTCACTTGTCTCTGTGGCCTTTGAGATAGGGCAGATAGCGTTACTGGTAGAGGGAGTCAACGAAGGGTGGACCTGGTGGTATAGGCCGGCTGGCTATACCCGACGATGCCTTTCTGACACAGACTGCGGCACTCACTTGTCTCTGTGGCCTTTGAGATAGGGCAGATAGCGTTACTGGTAGAGGGACTCAACGAAGGGTGGACCTGGTGGTATAGGCCGGCTGGCTATACCCGACGATGCCTTTCTGACACAGACTGCGGCACTCACTTGTCTCTGTGGCCTTTGAGATAGGGCAGATAGCGTTACTGGTAGAGGGACTCAACGAAGGGTGGACCTGGTGGTATAGGCCGGCTGGCTATACCCGACGATGCCTTTCTGACACAGACTGCGGCACTCACTTGTCTCTGTGGCCTTTGAGATAGGGCAGATAGCGTTACTGGTAGAGGGACTCAACGAAGGGTGGACCTGGTGGTATAGGCCGGCTGGCTATACCCGACGATGCCTTTCTGACACAGACTGCGGCACTCACTTGTCTCTGTGGCCTTTGAGATAGGGCAGATAGCGTTACTGGTAGAGGGACTCAACGAAGGGTGGACCTGGTGGTATAGGCCGGCTGGCTATACCCGACGATGCCTTTCTGACACAGACTGCGGCACTCACTTGTCTCTGTGGCCTTTGAGATAGGGCAGATAGCGTTACTGGTAGAGGGACTCAACGAAGGGTGGACCTGGTGGTATAGGCCGGCTGGCTATACCCGACGATGCCTTTCTGACACAGACTGCGGCACTCACTTGTCTCTGTGGCCTTTGAGATAGGGCAGATAGCGTTACTGGTAGAGGGAGTCAACGAAGGGTGGACCTGGTGGTATAGGCCGGCTGGCTATACCCGACGATGCCTTTCTGACACAGACTGCGGCACTCACTTGTCTCTGTGGCCTTTGAGATAGGGCAGATAGCGTTACTGGTAGAGGGACTCAACGAAGGGTGGACCTGGTGGTATAGGCCGGCTGGCTATACCCGACGATGCCTTTCTGACACAGACTGCGGCACTCACTTGTCTCTGTGGCCTTTGAGATAGGGCAGATAGCGTTACTGGTAGAGGGACTCAACGAAGGGTGGACCTGGTGGTATAGGCCGGCTGGCTATACCCGACGATGCCTTTCTGACACAGACTGCGGCACTCACTTGTCTCTGTGGCCTTTGAGATAGGGCAGATAGCGTTACTGGTAGAGGGACTCAACGAAGGGTGGACCTGGTGGTATAGGCCGGCTGGCTATACCCGACGATGCCTTTCTGACACAGACTGCGGCACTCACTTGTCTCTGTGGCCTTTGAGATAGGGCAGATAGCGTTACTGGTAGAGGGAGTCAACGAAGGGTGGACCTGGTGGTATAGGCCGGCTGGCTATACCCGACGATGCCTTTCTGACACAGACTGCGGCACTCACTTGTCTCTGTGGCCTTTGAGATAGGGCAGATAGCGTTACTGGTAGAGGGACTCAACGAAGGGTGGACCTGGTGGTATAGGCCGGCTGGCTATACCCGACGATGCCTTTCTGACACAGACTGCGGCACTCACTTGTCTCTGTGGCCTTTGAGATAGGGCAGATAGCGTTACTGGTAGAGGGACTCAACGAAGGGTGGACCTGGTGGTATAGGCCGGCTGGCTATACCCGACGATGCCTTTCTGACACAGACTGCGGCACTCACTTGTCTCTGTGGCCTTTGAGATAGGGCAGATAGCGTTACTGGTAGAGGGACTCAACGAAGGGTGGACCTGGTGGTATAGGCCGGCTGGCTATACCCGACGATGCCTTTCTGACACAGACTGCGGCACTCACTTGTCTCTGTGGCCTTTGAGATAGGGCAGATAGCGTTACTGGTAGAGGGACTCAACGAAGGGTGGACCTGGTGGTATAGGCCGGCTGGCTATACCCGACGATGCCTTTCTGACACAGACTGCGGCACTCACTTGTCTCTGTGGCCTTTGAGATAGGGCAGATAGCGTTACTGGTAGAGGGACTCAACGAAGGGTGGACCTGGTGGTATAGGCCGGCTGGCTATACCCGACGATGCCTTTCTGACACAGACTGCGGCACTCACTTGTCTCTGTGGCCTTTGAGATAGGGCAGATAGCGTTACTGGTAGAGGGACTCAACGAAGGGTGGACCTGGTGGTATAGGCCGGCTGGCTATACCCGACGATGCCTTTCTGACACAGACTGCGGCACTCACTTGTCTCTGTGGCCTTTGAGATAGGGCAGATAGCGTTACTGGTAGAGGGACTCAACGAAGGGTGGACCTGGTGGTATAGGCCGGCTGGCTATACCCGACGATGCCTTTCTGACACAGACTGCGGCACTCACTTGTCTCTGTGGCCTTTGAGATAGGGCAGATAGCGTTACTGGTAGAGGGACTCAACGAAGGGTGGACCTGGTGGTATAGGCCGGCTGGCTATACCCGACGATGCCTTTCTGACACAGACTGCGGCACTCACTTGTCTCTGTGGCCTTTGAGATAGGGCAGATAGCGTTACTGGTAGAGGGACTCAACGAAGGGTGGACCTGGTGGTATAGGCCGGCTGGCTATACCCGACGATGCCTTTCTGACACAGACTGCGGCACTCACTTGTCTCTGTGGCCTTTGAGATAGGGCAGATAGCGTTACTGGTAGAGGGAGTCAACGAAGGGTGGACCTGGTGGTATAGGCCGGCTGGCTATACCCGACGATGCCTTTCTGACACAGACTGCGGCACTCACTTGTCTCTGTGGCCTTTGAGATAGGGCAGATAGCGTTACTGGTAGAGGGACTCAACGAAGGGTGGACCTGGTGGTATAGGCCGGCTGGCTATACCCGACGATGCCTTTCTGACACAGACTGCGGCACTCACTTGTCTCTGTGGCCTTTGAGATAGGGCAGATAGCGTTACTGGTAGAGGGAGTCAACGAAGGGTGGACCTGGTGGTATAGGCCGGCTGGCTATACCCGACGATGCCTTTCTGACACAGACTGCGGCACTCACTTGTCTCTGTGGCCTTTGAGATAGGGCAGATAGCGTTACTGGTAGAGGGACTCAACGAAGGGTGGACCTGGTGGTATAGGCCGGCTGGCTATACCCGACGATGCCTTTCTGACACAGACTGCGGCACTCACTTGTCTCTGTGGCCTTTGAGATAGGGCAGATAGCGTTACTGGTAGAGGGACTCAACGAAGGGTGGACCTGGTGGTATAGGCCGGCTGGCTATACCCGACGATGCCTTTCTGACACAGACTGCGGCACTCACTTGTCTCTGTGGCCTTTGAGATAGGGCAGATAGCGTTACTGGTAGAGGGAGTCAACGAAGGGTGGACCTGGTGGTATAGGCCGGCTGGCTATACCCGACGATGCCTTTCTGACACAGACTGCGGCACTCACTTGTCTCTGTGGCCTTTGAGATAGGGCAGATAGCGTTACTGGTAGAGGGACTCAACGAAGGGTGGACCTGGTGGTATAGGCCGGCTGGCTATACCCGACGATGCCTTTCTGACACAGACTGCGGCACTCACTTGTCTCTGTGGCCTTTGAGATAGGGCAGATAGCGTTACTGGTAGAGGGACTCAACGAAGGGTGGACCTGGTGGTATAGGCCGGCTGGCTATACCCGACGATGCCTTTCTGACACAGACTGCGGCACTCACTTGTCTCTGTGGCCTTTGAGATAGGGCAGATAGCGTTACTGGTAGAGGGACTCAACGAAGGGTGGACCTGGTGGTATAGGCCGGCTGGCTATACCCGACGATGCCTTTCTGACACAGACTGCGGCACTCACTTGTCTCTGTGGCCTTTGAAGTAGCGTAGATAGCGGTTGTCGTAGAGAGAGAGATAGCGCAGTGACTCTGGGGAAGTGGGGAGCGGAGGAGGGGGGGGGGGGGGGGAGGGGGGGAGAGAGAGGGGGATGAGAAGAGCACAGCAGAGGAGCAACTGATTGTACGTGAGCTCCATGTGACCTCAGCGACCATACCAGACCTACCTACCATACCCAGACCAAGCCCGACCATACTTGGACCTACCATACCAGACGAGCCACACCCATACTTACCAACCCATGACGTACCACCCACGCCCACCTTCTATCACGATCTTATCCACGCATACCATCCCACAGATCACTGACTATAATTACACCCACCATCCCAGCCGTTCTTGGAGGAGTAAAGCACAGCGGAAAGATGGTGGTGGGTGAAGACGACCTGATCAACTCAACCATCCCCAAACTTCAACTATAACCATAGCTACCATCCCAGTCGTTCTTGGAGGTGTAGAGCACAGCGGAGGGGTGGTGGGTGAACACAGCACCATAGCCACACTGGAAACACACCATCTCCCAACACCAGCCATACCCACACCCACCATCCCAACAGCCCCCAGAGACGTACCATCCCAGCCGTTCTTGGAGGAGTAGAGCACAGCGGAGGGGTGGTGGGTGAAGACAACCTGATCCACTCCGTACTTGCGGCTGTGAATCGTCTTCACCAGGCTGACGTGGCAGGGAGGGAGTAACCAGCCACGACGTGCAGGGTCATGCCGTCAGATGTTATGCCATGCCATGCCATGCCACGCCATGCCATGCCATGCCATGCCACGCGGTCAAAATATCAGACCATTCCACCCATATCCGCCAAGCCAAAATGTCATTACAGACATGCACATCAAGGAAGGAACGGTTAGGGATAGAAGGATAGACTGAGGCCTGGCGGGTGTTCCGGGTCAGAGGACATTCAGGGCACTAACAAACGGTAAGAACCAGAACAATTTGTGGAATGTCTTTCTTGAAAGATTGTCTCCAAGATAAAAGGCTACGAGTATCAATTTACTCCATGCCGCACCACGCTTACGAGGCGTTTGACGTGTCATAGACCCGGATGGACTCGTCATCGCTTGCCGTCACGAGCAGGTCCTCCGTCCGATGGAAATCCATCGAGTTGATCCGACCGTTCTGGTTGAACGAAAGGTCGAGGAGGGAAGGTTAAGTGGGAAGGTGAAGGAAGAAAATGAGCGGAAAATAAACGCAATAGGGGAAGAAAAGGCAGGATTTGGACTATGGATGGATAAGGCAGAGTTGGATTCTGGATGGAAAGCGGAGAGGAGCCATAGTGTGGACGAATCCCGACGAGGACTCGATAAGGCCAGGCTACGAGAAAGTACATTATAAGCGACGAGAAGGGTGTGAGCGTACAAAGTCCTTGAACAAAGAAGGGGAGACGTTAGTTCTACGTTAGCGCTTGTGTTATCCGAATAGAGAGAATGAGCGAGCGGACATAGTCCTTGAACAACGACGGGGAGATGCTACTCTAAGGTGCATCATATGCGAAGAGAGCGAGCGAGCGTACATAGTCCTTGAACAGCGCGCCGACGGCCATGCTGCTGACGACTCCATCCGACAGAGCTAGAGGCATCGCGACCCTCTATCGCTCTTCGTAAAACTGGTGCTAATCAGCACAAGGAACACGTTTTAATCCTGCACACGTTTAAGAAACGCAGAGCACGCGGTCCAGCAGCTCAGGCAGTCGCAGTCACGAGCGTCGTCTAATCCGCGATCGTCAGTCGGGCGAGAGCTGCCAGCGAGCCTACTAGGATTCAAGAACGGAAACTGGGATCAGCCAGAGAGCTACGGGAAGATGAGGCTTGAAGTTGACGAGTTTCTCGAGAAAACCACTGAAGCAGTTGTTTTGTTGACATAAGTGAACCTCACTGATATCTTAGTGTATTTCGACGTTCAATCTATTATTTTATTTCTAATGTGTTTTCCAGCACAACATATTTAGAGAGGGTTCCCCCAACTCGAGTCACAATCGGCCACTTAGTGCTACTGTCCCTCCACATATAAATTTGGCCATTTTTTAGCATTGATAGGCTGGGATTAAAATCCATGAACCTTGTAACCATCATAACCAAATGGTTTTAGCGTAACATACATGGTATTGTCGCGTTGGTAATCATAGCACGCTGTAAAAGAATGCAAACAGCCCAACCATTACCAGAAGCATCACCAACCGCCCTATGCAGCCGTAAACACTAAGCTACATTGCAGCTATCTGACAGTGTAGAGCGCACGCCTAGCCACCTGAGGCCCCGCAGCTTCACAGAAGGTTTTGAGGGCTGCTGTGATGGACCGGGTGGAAGCAGAGGAGAGCCAACCGGTCTCCAACAGTTGCTGGTGGGAGCGGGTGGGAAAGGAAAATGGAAAGGGGGTGAATGGGGGTGATGTCACAAAGCCAGAGGAGAGCCCACCAGCCTCCAACTGCTGCTGGTGAATGCGGGTGGGGAATGAAAGAACGGGGGGGGTGTGGTGTCTCAAAGTCGGAGGAGGGCCAACCGGCCTCCAGCAAATGCTGGTGGGAGGGGGTGGGGAAGGAAAGAGGAGGGGGGTGTTGATACATGACGTGTCCGAAGCCGGAGGAGAGCCAACTGGTCTCTAGCCACTGCTGGTGGGAGGGGTGGGGAAGGTAAAAGGTGGGTGGGAGGGGGGGGGATGTCGCAAAGCCGGAGGAGAGCCAACCAGCCTCCAACAATTGCTGGTGGGAAGGAAATGGGCGAGGGGGGTAAAAGGTGGAGACAGGAGAATTTCACACGAGGTGAATGCAAGCAGAGAAGGTTGTCAGGGAGACTGAATCTGATAAGCAGAGACATTGCAGGTCTATTTTTGAGGCGCCTCAAAGATAAGCAGAGACATTGCAGGTACCCATGGGAAAGAAACATGGCATGGCATGGCACCTGTGGCATTCAACCCTGACTCCCAGGCAGCGCTGCTGATCTGCTAGGAGCCATTGATAAGCAAGGCGCCATAACGAGAGTGGCCGTATAGCCGTAACGACTTTCCAAAGTGCCAGAGAACGGCAACGGCATCGCCAAGACAAAGAGAGTGGCCGGGATAAGCGCCAACCTCCCTCACATGCACACTCAGAAACACATATCTCCACAATCACACTCAGAAACTGCTATCCCCACACTCACAAGAAAAACACATATCCCCACACCCACACTGAGAAACAGCTATCCCCACACTCACAGCGAAGCTGATCATCAAGGACCCATTGATGAGCAGGAGCATGGCCAACAGAGCACGAGTGGCCATATGGGAAAGAGACAAAACCCACACCCCCCCCCACCCACACTCAGAAACAGCTATCCCCACACTCATAGAGAAGCTGATCATCAATGATCCGTTGATGAGCAGCAGCATGGCCAGGACAGAGCGTGTGGCTGTATGGGACGGTATGGGAAGGCGACAAGACAAGCACCCTCCCCTGATCCCCACACTCACAGCGAAGCTGATCATCATGGACCCATTGATGAGCAGCGGCATGGCCAGCACCACCGACGCAACCTCCCTCCCCCGCTCCTCCCGCTCCCCCGCACTCAACTCCTCCCCCCATCTCTCCCCTCCCCTCCCCTTCTCAACCTCCATTCCCTCCTCCATTCCCTGCCGCCCTCCCCTGCCTTCCAGAGCCCTTCCCACCCGTCCCTGCACTCCATACTCGTTAGTAGGCCCTCTGCTACTCGCCTCGTCCATCTCCTCTACTCCTCCAATCTCCCCTCTCTCAGCTGCAGCCTGCAGCTCCCGCTGCACTTCAATCTCCGCTTCTGTCTCTCCCACCCCCGCCCCTCTATAGCCCCCCACCACGTCCCTTGCTCCGTCCTCTCCTGGCCCCCCTGCACTCCTCCCTTCCACTCCCTCACTCGATGCTGCGTGAGCATTGGAGGAGGGTGGCTGATGGAGGGAGGCGGCTACTGTAGGAAAAAGGTTCTCTGGTGCATGAGGGTGTTGTGGGTGTTGAGGGTGTTTGGGCAGAGCAGAGGAGAGTACAGCGTAGGGGGAGTGGTCCAGGAGAGGGCGTGCAAGAGAGAAGGGAACCCACCTGATGTTTGGGGAAGAAGCAGGGGAATTTGGGGGCAAGGGGTGGGAACGTGGGGAAAGGTGAGAATAAGGCAAGGAGGGCGCGAGGTGGTAGGGGGAAGGGAAACGAGATTAGGGGTGGGGGAGGGACAGGAGATTGGAGGGAAGGCAAGGGCAAAAACAATCTCGTGTGATGGAGGGAGACAGGGATTGGAGGGAAGGCAAGGGCAAAAACAATTTGGTTTGGAGTAAGAACACAACAAATCGGACACAGAGAAAAACTGCCGCAGCAGTGAGAGAAAAACCAGAGTGAGAGATGTGAGGAACCCTCATGCAAAACCAATCTTGCATATGGTGATTCAACTTCAAGTGGATACTACTGAATCACTCACAGGTAGCGCAGAGGACAGAGCAGATCCGACGGTGCATATGCTGCCTTATATGTCATTTTCGGACAAGAATGGATGTAATACCCCATGTAGTACGAATCCAGTAACAGCTCAGGCCGCCGCTGCTGCTCCCGCTGCACCCACTCGATCTCCTTAAGCGCCGAGAACTTCCCCAGAGACAGAAACGCAAAGTCGGGGTCCCAAAAGAGATACTTAGATGAGAGGCAGCGCGGCAGCACGTCCACCACGCCCACGGCCACTAAGCGCCCGTCTATGCGGTACTGCTGGTGGAAGGAGCCGTAGCCGCAGGAGGGCAGTGGTGCTTGTGCTTCAGGGGGGGGCGCAACTGGGGATGGGGCAGCTGGGGGAGGCGCAACTGGGGGAGGCGCAGGTGGAGGGACGTGTATGAGGGGAGTGTTGACGAGGAAATTCTCATAGGCTCGTCTGGTGACGGTGCTGGGTGCATCACCGTGCACCTTGATCTGGTACTTGCGGTACAGGTCAAACTCCTCCTGGGTGAATGCAGAGCGGTGGGTCGTTATCTCCAGCACTCGTGGCGTGCGCTGCTGCTGCTGCTGCTGCTGTGGTTGTTGTTGCTGCTGGTCCTGCTGGTGCTGCTGGTGATGTTGTTGCTGCACGCCTCTACTCCCACCACCAGGCAAACCAGCGTTGCCTGTGGCTATGCGTCTGCCCGTGGACTCCTCGCCTCGCAGCAGAGCAGCAGGCGCCAGCACATTCACATGCCCGTTCACAGCCCTCACGCTCACTCCCTCAGGCAGCTCGCCACTCTGCAATCCCGCTTCAACCTCCTGCACCAACGCCACTGCTATATCCTGCGCACTGGAGCTTAGAAGCACTGCATGCTCTGGGTGCCGCCCGTCTGATAGCTGCGGGGTCATCTCCCCCTGATTCTGCGGCTTCTTCTGCTGCTGTTGTAGCTTCTTGTATGCAGAGAAGAGCAGGAACGCAACGTTTGACGTCAGCACTGGCAGAGGAGCAACAGAAGCGCCTCTCTGTTCACCCCCTCTTGCCCCTCTTGCCCCTCCTACGTCTCCTCCACCCCCCCGACCGCTACTCTCCACATCTGTATTTCCAGTGCGCCTCCCCTCGATCACTCTGTGTTCCTTCGCTTCCTTCCCTCCCTTCACTCCCTCCCCTCCCTTCCCTCCCTCCCCTCCCTTCACTCCCTCCCCTCCCTTCCCCTCCCCAAGTCTCGACCTGACGTTAGCTGGGACGGGTCGGAGCGTCACGGCAGGCAGCAGCATGCCCGAAGGAACCGCCCCGTTCTCCCACCACTGCGCTAGCACTCGCTTCAACGCCCCTTCCACCTGCGCATGCACTGCTGCCAGGGGTCCCGCCGTCGCTGGCTGCAGCCGTCCCTCACTGGAAGCTGCCCGGAGGCCGTCCTTCTGCCCTCGTGACTGCCCGTTCACTGGCTCTGCCCGCGGCTGCACACTCGCACCCGAACCTGAACCCAAACCTAAAGCCAAACCTAAACCCAGACCTGAACCTGGATTCGAAGAAGGGTCGGGAAGGTTTGCAGAGCGGTCTCTGGGAGCAGGGAGGTCGATTTCCCCACTGAGAAACCTGCAGGAGGGAGGGAGGTGGTGGCGGTGAAGGGCAACGGATAAAGGGGGGGAAGGGGGAGAGGAAACGGGGGAGAGGAAAGGGGGGCGAAAACGGGGGCGAAAAGGGGCAAATGTGACTAGACGCCTCTTGCCTACCATCAGTTTGAGCACCTTGATTTGTGCTGCTCTGGTGAGCTGCAGCAATGACCCGCAGCTGGCCGTTTCTTACCTTCCCTTCCCATGAGCCCCCAAGTCCTCCCAGGCTCGCCTCACCTCGCCATGCGTCTCAGCACTTTCCGCTGCTCCTTGCTGGCCTGGAACCCCTAGAACCGAGGCTAAACCATCTCTTACCTATCGCAATCCCCATGCACACCCCACCTCTCCATGCGTTTGAGCACTTTGCGCTGCTCATTGTTGGACTGAAACTGCCGTGCCACAAGGCGGGTGGTGTAGGCGGGGAGGGGGACCCACCCAAGCCTACAAATCTCTCACGTGTCGTACTCTATACTCTCCAATTTCCCATACCCACAGGCACTCTGTACTCTCTCCCCTTCCCATGCCCACCTCTCCATGCGTTTGAGCACTTTGCGCTGCTCCTTGTTGGGCTGAAACCGCCTCGCCACGAGCCTGATGGTGTAGGCGGGGCAGCAGGTGCGGGGCATATCTGGCTTGTAGAGGAAGCAGCCCGAGCGACGCCAGCCACGATCTAAAAGGTCTGCGTGTGAACAGGGGAGACACAGTGGGAGGGAGGGGGGAGTGCAGTGGGGTGGGGAGTGGTCAGAGGGTCGTAGGCGGGGCAACAAGTGCGGCGCGGCATGTTGGGCTTGTAGAGGAAACAACCAGATCGACGCCACCCACGATCTAAAAGGTCTGCGTGGATGAGAAGGGAGAGACGCATGGGGGTAGTGGGAAATGGAGCGGGGAGTGGGCAGAGGGTTGTTGGCGAGGCAGCACGTGCGCGGCATGTCGGGCTTGTAGAGAAAGCAGCTGGAGCGATGCCACCCACGGTCCAACAGATCTGTGTGCGGACACAAGTGAGACAAAAGTGAATGCTATAAAAACTGCTTTAGGAATGCTTCTCAGCAATTTCAGATTAATATTGAAGCAGGTGTTCAGGAGCCATAGGAGGAGAGGCGCGGTGACTGGCACACGGAAAGCTGCTACTGTAAGCAACGTGGGAACTCCAGCTTCTATGAATATGCACGGTGTATTTTAGAATAGTAAAGAACACCCTGCAAAATTAAGGGCGCCGTGGCTGTCACACGGAAAGCTGCTACTGTAAGCAGCGTGGGAACTCCAGCTTCTATGAATATGCACGGTGTTTTTTAGAATAGTAAAGAACACCCTGCAAAATTAAGGGCGCCGTGGCTGTCACACGGAAAGCTGCTACTGTAAGCAGCGTGGGAACTCCAGCTTCTATGAATAGTCAACACAAGTATTCACCAAAGAGAGGCAAAGGAGCGCCGTACCTTGGTAGTGCCTTGAGGGCACCGTTCTTTAATAGTCGCATGAGAGCTTCCTACCTTGGTAATCTTGCACTATCTTGCACTATCTTGCACTGTCATGGTCTCCGCGGTGATTCCTGGGGCAGGCACATCAAGGCTGACCGGGAGGGGCGTGGAAAGCACCGCGGAGACTAGGTAGAGTGCTTTCCCCAGGAATCACCGCGGCCTTGATCTTGCACATCAAGGCTGACCGGGAGGGGCGTGGAAAGCACTGTACCTTGATGGTAGCATGAGAGCACGAGGTGACTTTTGAGTCGACTCAAAAGTCACCTCGTGGAAAGCACTCTACCTTGATGGTAGCATGAGAGCACCGTACCTTGGTAATCTTGCACTGTCATGGTCTCCGCGGTGATTCCTGGGGAAAGCGGCCGATCAATGTCGGCAGGGAGGGGCGTGGGGGATGGAAGGACAGCGGGACAACACGGAGGGAAGGAAACCAGCGCGCGTTGAAGCTTAAAAGGAAAACAAAGGGTGTGCTGTATGCGGTCAATGCTGAGCGGAGGTCGACGTGAGCGGGATCCTGAGTACTAATCACTTGAGCGACAGGGGGGAACACAGGTTTCGTGTTAGATTCGCGAGGGGGGAACACAGGTTTCCTGTCAGCGACAGGGGGGAACACAGGTGTCCTGTTAGATTCGCGAGGGAGGGACGTCGGCGAAAGACTACTGGAATGGTCGCTCAGCGACGATTGAACGGAAAGCAGGTGATGTTGGACCAGATCCTGACCGTTGGAAAGGGAATGCTGGGAAGATCCTGACCGTGGGAGTGGCTCGACCCGCGCGCGCCTCGGCAGTAGCCGCAGGAGGAGGAGTAATCTCCATGATCCACCACTATAGTCCGCTCGACCTCCGCCTCGCGCTCCGCCGCTCCGGATTCGTGCACGCGCTGCTGCTTCGGCTGCTGCTGCTGCTGCTTGCGCCGTCGGCCCAGCATGCTCGCTACGGGAAAGGGACAGCAGAGTCGGGCAAAGAGAGCGAGAGGCGGAGGACAACGGAAAATAAACTGATCTCTCGAGAATGCTCTGGCGCAGATTTAGCACCTAGAAAACAAATGTCGTCTCGAAACTAGCTACATTCGCAAGCAAATCCCAAGGTTGCTGCTGGTAGAATCGTGGGAAGTGCCGTGCAAAGCGAAGCTCCAATCCCAATGGCATTTGCTTGCAGGACAAGTCAAACCTGCTCTCGACTCGACTCGGACTGGAGCCCGGGAGGGACACCGACCCCGCTATGGAAATACCGCGTTCAGGTATTAGACTTTGCAACACCAGAGACAGCAAGACTCAACTGGTCAACCTGAAATAAATGTGGTAAAACGAGATGATTGAGATCTAGTCAAACTTCAGTAACAGATTCGTGGCATTCTGAAGGGTGGATCGTCAATGATAGACAAGGGGTTCAGATGAGGTCTATATGTGTGAACGATGGCTATATTTTGGAGCTAGTATATTTTATGAATCCTATGAACGGATTAAAGATTAGGGTTGCTAAAGAAATTGAATTAGGAAGGACATGGTACAACAAGTCCATGATACAACACTACAATGGTTCACACAATATTTGAATTCTGCACCCCCAACGGTGAACCTCTAGTTAGTGTTATAATCCCTATTTGGGTCATCTGGTACCGGACCACCGCCATTGCTACGTGTGGTAACCACATTATTTCCTCCACTGCCTCCTGTGGTAGGTTCACCGGCCAAGCCCTCTTGACCATGCACCCTGACCCCTCTCATGTCAGCACGATTCACATCACAAGCACCCCTTGCGACACCCCCATCGTCCACATCGCAACCACCATCCATAACCACACCTTCAGCAGCACTAGCAGCATCAGCACCATGCCTATGTTGATGCTGCTGCACTTGGTCCAAGATAGCTCTATCTACTGCACCCCCTCTGCTTACTGTATTTACTGTACCTCTTTGCATATTCCAGTTATCTTGCACCGCATGTGCGGCGCGGGAGCGCGGCTGGGGCATGGCGTCCCACTCGCCCACTCCGCTCAGCAGCCCTGCTACTGCCTGCAGCTCGCGCATCACCTCTGCCATTGCCACAGGCTGCTGCTGCTGCTGCTGCTGCCCTGGCGTTTGGACTGGTTGCTGTCGTGTCTGTTGAGGTGGATGGTGTTGCGGTGGCTGCTGCTGGTGCAGTGGTTGCAGCATTAGTCGTGCACGCTCGTCCTGCTGCTGCTGCTGCTGCTGTTCTTGACTGCCATGCATATCTTCCCTCGGATTGACCTCCCCACGCTCTTGCCTGCATTGCACCTGACCCTCTCCTTCTAGTCCTTCTCCCCTCCTCCCTGCTTCCCCAGATTCTCTCCCTTCCTCTCTCAAATCCGTCCCCATACACTCTTCCCCATCGTCACACGCAGTTGCTTCCCTCTCCCTCTCACCCATCCGCTCCTCTTTCTCCCCACGCTTCCCTCTCCCTGCTTTCCCCGACCTGCATTCATCTGCCACTTCCCCGAACCCTCTCCGCCCTGTCTCCGCTCTTTCTGCCTCCTCCCTCCCGGTTACCACCTCTCTCAGACAACCACTTCCACCTCTCACCCACGCTTCACTCCCCCCCCCACCCACTCCTCCTCCTCCACCCTCACCCACCATCACCTCTCTCACCCCTCCCCCCATCCCCTCACTCCTCCCCTCCGCAACACGCCTCCTCTTTCCCCCTCCTCCCTGCGCCCCCCCTCCCGCCCCCTCTCTCCTCGCTCTCCCCTCCCCGCTCCATCTGCGCCCCCCCCGCTTCCCCTTCCCCTTCCATCCAGCCCCCCACCTCTTCCCCCTCCCCCCCCCCAGCACCGGTCCAGCGCCGCAGCTACAGCTGCCGCAACAGCCTGGCCGGCAGAGGACCCGGGGAAGAGCAGGAGATCCTGCAATAGCTGGGGGACACGTGGACTGATGAAGGGGCCCTCAACGACACGTGGGCTGATGGAGGGGCCCTCAGTGACACGTGGACTGATGGAGGGGCCCTCAGGGACACGTGGACTGATGGAGGGGCCCTCAGTGACACGTGGAGTGACGGAGGGGCCATGAGGGATGGGGAGTAGGGAGGAGGTCTCGCTAGGTGCTGGGCTTTGCTGTGCTGGCTGCTGTGCCAGCTTCTGCGCTGCTTCGTATGCTGGTCCCTCTGTTGCCTCTTCTGCTTCCTCCTCTGCTTCCTGTTCTGCTGCCCCCCCGCAGCCTCCTCTGTTGCCGCCTCTGCTGCCTCCTCTTCTGGGTGCTCTGCTGTTTGGTCCGCTGACTCCCCCTCTGCCGCATCTACCCGTTGCTCTGCTAGAGGCGCCTGCTGTTGCTGGTGCTGGGGGAAGGAGCAAGGCCCAGAAGCAAGAGTGGCTGACTCAATAGGAGTGGCAGGCGCAGCAGGAGCAGGAGCAGGAGCAGGAGCAGGAGCAGGAGCAGGAGCAGGAGCAGGAGCAGTAGGAACAGCAGCGGAAGCAGCCGGAGCAAGAGACACTGCAGCAGGGGTGCGAGCATTGTTTGCCACATTGGATTCATCCATAGTGGTATCCACTGGGGCAGCAGGGGGCGGCATAGCAGCAGGAGGCAGGGGAGGAGGCATGAAGGCAGTGGGCGCAGCAGCCGCGAATCGGCTTGGCGGCGAGGGCAGCGGAGGAGGGGGGAAAGGCCGAGGAACGGATATGGCAGCAGGTCCAATGCGGGGGAGGGGGGACATGCCTGCTGCCAATGCAGGTCCAATGCGGGCCGTGACAGGAGAGGTGACCGCGTCCATGGTAACCGCTGGAGGAGAGGTGCCATCCACGAAGAGCCAGCTGTGTGCAGGATGGGAGGTTTCAGTGACAGGCATATCGGGCAGAGAGACCCCGGTCGGCTGCACGCCGTGCACGGGAGGAGAGACCCCACTCGGCTGCACAGGGGGAGATACCCCGCTCAAAAGCACACTGCTTGAATCCGGAGTAACGCCCCTTGCAGGCAAACTCCCTGCGGGAGAAGAGATTGCGTTCAGCAGCACGCTAGTCGCAGGCGGGGAGACTCCGCTCAGAAGCACGCTGTGTGCAGAGGGGGAGACTCCGGTCTGAGGAGGAGACACTGCACTCAGCACGGGAGGAGAGACCCCACTTAGAGCAGGAGGGGAGACCCGACTCGTCAGCACCCTCTGTGCAGGCAGGGAGATTGTGCTTCCGAGCGTGGCAGGAGCAGGGAGCAAACTGTTACCTGCAGGCGGAGAGACTCCGCTCAGCTGCACGCTGCTGCGCGCAGGCGGAGAGACTTCACTCGGTAAGCCAAGCGGGAGATGTTTGGTCTCCCCATCTGCTCCGTCCACACTATCAACCACGTTCGGCACACGCCGCATTCCGAAAATACCCTCTGGCGCGCCCCTCCCCCCAGCGTCCCCCCTCGAGCTGCCCCGGTCCTGCTCCCCCCACACGCATTCCGACACCTCGGGGGGAGATATCCCCCTCCACGCTACACGCCCACCGCCCACGGACTCCCGTCCTGGTGTTACTGTGTTACCAGACTCTCCCGATATGCTTCTTGAGCCGGGTTCCTTGTAATGCTGCGAAAAGAAGCGTCCACTCTGGTTCGCTGTTTCTCTCTTCCACGAAGTAGGTTGAAGTGGTAACCCGCCAGGGCTCACTTGGCCTTCGCCAGGGCTTTCCCCTGCCCCCGGATGCTGCCTGCCGCGGCCAACACCTCCCCTCTCACGGCCCCACACGCGGCAGTCTTCTCCAGTTCCGCCACTGCCCCACTCCTCCCCTTCCAGAAGGGGTTCTTCCCCTTCCCCTTCCCCTTCCCCGCCGTCCCCGTATGATTCCGCAGCCGCCCCTATCGCCGCCACCGCCGCCACCGCGGAAGCCGCCGCTCGTTGCCACATGATACCCTGCGGAGTAGCGACTGGGGTGCTTCCCCCTTCCCCTCCCCCTCCCCTTTCCGCCGTCATCGCAACGAAAGATGCGCGCCCAAGCACCGATAGCCGCGGAGGCTCCGTAGATTCCGCGCGGAATCGCTCCCCCAAGGTCCCTCCAACGCGCGGATCGGGGGATTCTGGTGCGCGCATTCCGGCGGACGGCGGAAGGTCTGCTGGTAACGGCGGTACTTCGGGGCGCACGCCCGCTTGCGGAGGGTGCGCGCCAGAGGGGGACGCCGCACGAGCGCCGCCATTCGTATCCAGAGTTGCGACTCTATAACGAGCGGGCCTGTAGCGAGAGAGGCTATAGCGAGAGAGTGGCGCTAACCTGCGAAAGAATCGGGGGCCGTTACTCTTCACGGAAATACGGCAAAGGCGGCGTGTAAATTCACGATATACAACGAGCAACGCCTGACGCCTAATAACTATTGCGTGCGGCCTACAGATTACATGCCGAAAAGTGCGACGTGTGAAGTCTCTAAATGATAGGGTCGTAGAGGAGAGGCGCAAATCACTGAGCGGAAAGATGCGGAGCGGAACAATGCGGAGCGGAAAGATGCGGGGCGAGACGATGCGGAGCGGGGGGAGGGAGCGAGCAAACGCCGCGGCTTCTCTGGCCACCCTCTTAGTCCTTCTGGTACTGAGAGCCCTATCGCTCGACAAACTGATTCTCGTCTGCGACAAGCTCGAAATTGACGGCGACGGATCGCGGGCGACTGTCTGTGCGACGGAGAGATGGGGGGAATCGGAAGGCGGAAGGGGCGACAGCCTTGTCATTCCTCTATCGCTTCATAGTTTTGCTTGGTTGGTCTTGCGCGTTGGCCCGAGCCCTAGAGCACTGGTTTCGTAATGCTGCAGCAGATTCGAGGGAACGCACTCGGGATAAACTCGGGGAGGACGGGAGTATCTTTGGCTGCTAAGTACAGGAGGAACGGGATTGGAGAGGAGACGCGGGGTTCTCGCCTGTTATTGCTAGTTGCTGTGGCGTGCGTATGCGTGTAAGCGAGATGCAGAGGTGCGAGTTTCTTCCTCCACGTGTTGGGCGACGAAGCGAAACTGTCGGCAAGCGCAAGTGGCGATGTGACAATGATCCGGCATGGCGACCTGAAGGTGTCTGTTGGTCCGACGAATACCCCATGTGAGCTTCAGCTGTACGCAGCAGATTAGCAGCAGGTGAGCCATGGCTTTCAGGAGCAAGTGTGCTTGAGCTATGCCTTGCGACAAATTGACAAATATTTACGATTTGAATGCGGGATGGCGAATTTAGCCGGGTTGTGTGCAGCGGGCGACTTCGCGCTCAAAATCTGCTTTGCGGCGTGATGTGCGGATTCGATGCGGAACCGCACCGCATGCTCGAATTTCCACCTGAGATCCGTAGTCCATGCCTTTGGCGACACAAAAGCAGGCTGGCGAGAAATAAGCTCTTCGCCCCTAACGCCGTTGGCCAGTAGTATTTTGGGAATAGTAATCGCAACGGCTCCTCCAATTCGCGAAAGCATTTGTGTTGGAGAGGCGCCGTGAGTCACGGCGTGGCTGGTTGAACTAACGAATCGTGAGCGTGGGTTGCGCTTGGGTTACGGGAAAATTTCCCGCGCTTTCTCGCGCGAGGCGCTCACGCCCCTCCCCCAGATAAAACAAGGGGAACTCCCCAGGTGGGCGGTCAGCTAGGGGCACCGGAAACATTGCCTTCGGAACATCGGACCCCTTGGATTGCAACTCGGGGCTATCAAAATGCAATTTCCAGTTCCAGAATCAAAACGAACTCTGTGTCCTGCAAGTTATCCACTGGCCTCAGAGGAGAGTGGGTCCGAGTACACTTCAAGAAAGCGAAACTTGGTCTTTCTTAAAGCAAGGGTCTCAAGAAGCAGAAAACCAAATCCAAAGGTTTTGGTTTCGGGGGGTATCGAAAATTGCGGTGTGGTGAGGGGTGCTGGTTGGGAGCTGTTACTGTTTCGCTAGTTTCGTCAACCCAAAACCAAACCTTTTGGATTTGGTTTCGCGTTTCTTGAGACCCTCGCTTTAAGTTGGGAAGATTCCCGAGTCTCCGGCCATTGGAAGGCGTGTCGTATAACCCTTGAAGCGTTGCTGTACTTCTGGTTCAGATCACAGTTCAGAGACGGAAAACCTCGGGCCGCTGCCTTCGGAACTGCGGAATGAAACATGATCCTAAGAGCGTGGAAAGTGTCAAAACCAGACGTAAGTGCGCGCCAGGTTCGCATTTCTAGAGAGGTTCCTGATCGGTTCCGAACGTTTCAGTAAGTTTTGAACAGGTTTTAGGTTTACGATTCCATACCCGTGCGCACCCGAACCCCGACTCACTTGCACCACGCTCTGACCGTTTCCAGCTTTTTACTTCCTTATAGACTGGCGCGATTTAAGGCTCGCGTCGATGCCAGCCTCGGCAAATTGTGAAATCCAGATTCGAAAGCCTTTCCTTGAGTCAGACGCTATTTTTTAGCTTCAGTCGCATTCTCGGCAGTCACTGTCAGTCTGGCCGTAATTCTCCCTTGGAAAATAGCCGCACACCTGACGGCTCCTAATCGCGATTCCTCAAAATTAGAGAGTAGGTTTCCTTCGTGCGTTTCCTGTTGAAGCCAGCGCCTCCATCCATCCACTCTCCCACCTTCCTTCTGCGATCGCGCGATCGCGCTCTCCCCCTCCCGCCTCTCGCGTTCCTTCCCTCTCGCGAATTCCGTCGGGTCTGTCCCGCTTCGTCCCCCCCATCCCGTCCCTCTCGCCTTCCTTCCCTCCCCTCCGACGCGTCCCTCCCATTCGCCCCCTCTATCTCTCCCTCCCCAGCTCCCCCCCTTTCCCCCACTCCCCCACTTCCCCCACTCCCCTCCCTCCCCTCCCTTCCCTCCACCTCTCCCCCCACTCCCTCCCTCCCCTCCCTTCCCTCCACCTCTCCCCCCACTCCCCTCCCTCCCCTCCCTTCCCTCCACCTCTCCCCCCACTCCCCTCCCTCCCCTCCGTGCGTGTAGCTTGCTTTAGTCACCCGCGCCAATGAGGCAGCGATCCGCCATGGACGCGAGTGGCGATGGCGCCGCTGGCTCACGGAAGGACGAAGAGCCTCCAGATTTCCTCGACACCCAAGGTCGTGGGAATTTCCCTTTCCATTTCCCGCCCTGTTTTTTGAGACTCGGGTTACAAGCAACACGGTAACAGGTGACTTTTGAGTCGACTCAGAAGTTACAAGCAACACGGTAACAGGTGACTTTTGAGTCGACTCAAAAGTTACAAGCAACACAGTAACAGGTGACTTTTGAGTCGACTCAAGAGTTACAAGCAACACAGTAACATGTGACTTTTGAGTCGACTCAAAAGTTACAAGGAACACGGTAACAGGTGACGGGTAACGACTTCATCGACATCCAAGGTCGTCGGGATTTCCCTTTCCTTCTCCCACCTTTTCTCTACAGACTCTAAATAGTAGTTTCCTGGTTGGGTTACAAGCAACACGGTAATGGGTGAAGGACTGTGATGGTACTGTTGTTTAGTGAAAGATCACCCATTAATGAGAGAATGGGTATGTGCTTTGCTTGACTGTATCAGTCTGGGTGTGAGGTTGAGGGGTGGGAGAGGAGTGGTGGGAGAGGAGGGTGGGGATTGATGGCATCGCGCTGCACTGCATGGCATGGATTGGAATGAAATGGCTTGGATGTTACTGGCATGCTATGGGCATGGCATGGCGTGCATGGTGTGGCATGGCGTGGCGTGGCGTGGCATGGCATGGCATGGCATGCAGAGCAGGAGGCCATGATAGAGGCGTTTGAGCAGCAGCACCGCGATTCACTGCGCTTCTGGAAGGTCCGTTGTACACTTGAGAATCCTCCTAGGCTGATTCTGACGTCCGTCGATTAGTCGTTCTTACAAAGGGAAGATAGGTGCAAATGGACTAATCGACGGACGTCAGAATCAGCCTAGGAGGAATCAGCCTAGGAGGAATCAGCCTAGAGGACTTCTTTTCTTGAATGCACCTATGTTACTCCTTCGACGCCTTCTGTTTTCTTCTATTTTCCTCCCATCCTTTTCTCTTTTCGCGCCTGCTTGTTTCGTATCCTTGATGTGAGATACAAATCCCTCTCCGTGTGTAATGAGTCGATTTTTTAGTCGACTAATTACACACATTTTGAATCGACTCAAAAATAAACTCATTACACACTTGTTTTGTATCCTTGATGTGACGTATCCTCGACAAATCCCTCTCGATCCGTCCCTCGTTGTCCCCCTTGCAGGTCTGCCTATCCCTGTTGCTGCTCGCCTATGCGTCGTTTCTGGTGCATGGGATCATCAACCTCGTCATCTCTCCCTTGGGGCAGGTGTGTATTCATTTTCCTCATGGTCCTCATTGTTGGTCTCGTGGGCATTCGTCCTCATTTTCGTTCTCCCTTTTCTCTTGGCCTTGTAGCCATTCTTCCTCATTTTCATCTCTATAATTCATGTCTTCGAACTTCATGTGCTCGCCTTAATTGTCACCCTTCCCCCTCCCCCCTTCATGTGCTCGCCTTAATTGTCACCCTTCCCCCTCCCCCCTTCATGTGCTCGCCTTAATTGTCACCCTTCCCCCTCCCCCCTTCATGTGCTGGCCCTTCATGTGCTGGCCCTTCATGTGCTGGCCCTTCATGTGCTCGCCCTTCATGTGCTGGCCCTTCATGTGCTGGCCCTTCATGTGCTCGCCCTTCATGTGCTCGCCCTTCATGTGCTCGCCCTTCATGTGCTCGCCCTTCATGTGCTCGCCCTTCATGTGCTCGCCCTTCATGTGCTCGCCCTTCATGTGCTCGCCCTTCATGTGCTCGCCCTTCATGTGCTCGCCCTTCATGTGCTCTCTGTTCCCCTCCCCTCCCCTCCCTGCGCTGCCCCAAGCAGAGGCGCCATGCAGAGCTGCGTCAGATTCTGGATCTCACAACCCTAGCTGCTGCCGGTATGATGCTCCCCCTTCTCGTTTTGCCTGCTGCCCCTCCTCTTTCTGCCTGCTTCCCCTCCCCCTTCCGCCTGCTGCCCCTCCTCTTTCTGCCTGTTGCCCCTCCCCCTTCCGCCTGCTGCCCCTCCTCTTTCTGCCTGTTGCCGCTCCCCCTTCCGCCTGCTGCCCCTCCTCTTTCTGCCGGCAGCGCCGAAACTTCTGCTGTATGTTGCGTCCCTCCTGCCTGACTCACCCATCTCCCCTGCCTCCCTCCCTCGCACTCCTCAGTTTCTCTCTCCCCCATCCTCCCCCTCAGACGTGGCATCAGTAGCAGCCTCCGTAGTTCTCCCTCTCTCCCTCTGGCTTCACGGCTCCACCCGCTGCCTCCTCTTCCGCCTCACTCTTCCTTCTCCCCTGCCTTTCGTTCTCCCTCTCCCCCAGACCTAGCAGCAGTAGCTGCCTCTGCGGCTCTCCTTCTCTTCCTCTGGCTGCATGGCTCTGCTCGCCGCCTCCTCTTCCTCTCGTCTGCTGCTCTCTCTACACTGCTAGCACTCTTCTGGATATACACTCTGCTACAGTAAGTGTCGCTGCCTAACTGCCCGGCTTTAGTGAATTTTTGCTGCCTTGCAAAACGCCTATAAGACATGTTTACGGTGGCAGGTATTTGGGGCTTGTCTGTGGGGCAGTCTAGTGTAGTGTTTCGGAAACAGTCTGTCATTATTCTCCCTCTTCTCTTCCCCTCCTCATTCTCATGTGCCACGATTGAACTGCAAGGCTGACAACACCGTTTCGGTGGCAGCTCTTCTGGTTACCCCTTGCAAATCCAGTGTAAGATCGCTCGTCCATCCCGCTCCTCCCACGCCTAG